GCTCCAGTTGTGAGGCTGAGATCTACGCCGGGGCCATGGCTGCACAGGAGCTTCGCTGGCTCACCTACCTGCTGACTGACCTTGGAGAGCTGCCTCGTTCTCCTCCAGTGCTGTACGTAGACAACAAGGCCATGTTGGCCTTGTGTCGAGAGCAGCGCTTGGAGCACAGAACGAAGCACATTGCTCTCCGCTACTTCCTTGCTCGTGAGCTGCAGCAGCGTGGTCAGTTGCGACTTGCTTACGTGGCCTCTGAGGCCAACACTGCTGATGTGTTCACCAAGGCACTTGCGCCTTGCGACCATCAGCGCTTTTGTACCCAGCTGGGTCTTGTACCTGTCTTGCCTCACTTGCTCTCTTCTTGACTTTACTTGTACTTTGACATATATATACCTGCTCTTGCTTGTCTAGTTTTATATATATGTCTTTACTCCTGCATGTGAACTGGCCTCTGGCCTTGCTCTTGTGCTCGGACTGTGTGGTGACTTTGTGATCCACCCTGAGCTTGTTTTGCTTTGCTTGACTGGTCTTGTGACCCCTTGTTCTCCCCCACTTTGCCTATGGGGGTGTGTCAGATTATTATAGCTGATGCATGTTTGTAGGCTATAGTGGGGTAGCACATATGGGGTACAGTTTGCTAGGGTTGTATTTGTACCCAACTCTGACTTAGTCAATTCATTCCTCTGCTCATAGTTTCACAAATGGTGCATCGGCCAGTCTGGCCGGCATTTCGCACTCATAGTGCAGGTGGGGCCAGGGAGAACGGAAACGCTCGTTTCTCAAAAAGTGGAGGCAATCTAACGATCTCACTCGATCAGAAGGTGGAAAATATATAAATCTAGTCAGCTAAAAAGGTTTGAAATGTATTCAACGCACATGTATAGAGAAAATGGTGCATTGGCCAGGTCGGTCAGTATCGGAACTTAAAATGCAAATGCCATGGAGAACGGAAGCGCTCAGATCTTGCATAGTACACAGAATCAAGTGGTCTCACTCAAATAGAAAGTAGGAAATAAATTCATCTAGTGAACGTAAGGGTTTGAAAGGTAACTAACGCACATGTGTAGAGAAAATTGTGCATCGGCCAGTCTGGCCGGCATTTCGCACTTATAGTGCAACTAGGGCCAAGGAGAACGGAAACGCTCATTTCTCGAAAAGTAGAGGGAATCTAGCGGTCTCACTTGATCAGAAGGTGGGAAATATATAAATCTAGTAAGCTAATAAGGTTTGAAAGGAATCTAATGCATATGTATATGGAAAATGGTGCATTGGCCAGGTCGGTCAGTATGGGAACTTAGAGTGCAAATGCTAGGGAGAACGGAAGCGCTCAGATCTCGCATAGTACACGGAATCTAGTGGTCTCACTTAAATAGAAGGTAGGAAATAAATTCATCTAGTGAACGTAAGGGTTTCAAAGGTAACTAACGCACATGTGTAGAGAAAATGGTGCATCAGCCAGTCTGGCCGGCATTTCGCACTTTTAGTGCAACTAGGGCCAAGGAGAACGGAAACGCTCATTTCTCAAAAAGTAAAGGGAATCTAGCGGTCTCACTCGATCAGAAGGTGGGAAATATATAAATCTAGTGAGCTAATAATGTTCAGAAGGAATCTAATGCATATGTATATGGAAAGTGGTGCATTGGCTAGGTCGGTCAGTATGGGAACTTAGAGTGCAAATGCCTCGGAGAACGGAACCGCTCAGATCTCGCATAATACATGGAATATAGTGGTCTCACTCAAATATAAGGTAAGAAATATATGCATCTAGTGAATGTAAGGGTTTGAAAGGTAACTAACGCACATGTGTAGAGAAAATTGCGCATCGGCCAGTCTGGCCGGCATTTCGCACTTATAGTGCAAGTAGGGCCAAGGAGAACGGAAACGCTCATTTCTCAAAAAGTAGAGGGAATCTAGCGGTCTCACTCGATCAGAAGGTGGGAAATATATAAATCTAATGAGCTAATAAGGTTTGAAAGGAATCTAATGAATATGTATATGGAAAAGGTGCATTGGCCAGGTCGGTCAGTATGGGAACTTAGAGTGCAAATGCCAGGGAGAACGGAAGAGCTCAGATCTCGCATAGTACACGGAATCTAGTGGTCTCACTCAAATAGAAGGTAGGAAATAAATTCATCTAGTGGACGTAAGGGTTTGAAAGGTAACTAACGCACATGTGTAGAGAAAATGGAGCATCGGCCGGTCTCGCCGGCATTTCGCACTTATAGTGCAAGTAGGGCCAAGGAGAACGGAAACGCTCATTTCTCAAAAAGTAAAGGAAATCTAGCAGTCTCACTCGATCAGAAGGTGGGAAATATATAAATCTAGAGAGCTAATAAGGTTCGAAAGGAATCTAATGCATATGTATATGGAAAATGGTGCATTGGCCAGGTCGGTCAGTATGGGAACTTAGAGTGCAAATGCCAGGGAGAACGGAAGCGCTCAGATCTCGCATAGTACACGGAATCTAGTGGTCTCACTCAAATAGAAGGTAGGAAATAAATTCATCTAGTGAACGTAAGGGTTTGAAAGGTAACTAACGCACATGTGTAGAGAAAATGGAGCATCGGCCAGTCTGGCCGGCATTTCGCACTCATAGTGCAAGTAGGGCCAAGGAGAACGGAAACGCTCATTTCTCAAAAAGTAAAGGGAATCTAGCACTCTCACTCGATCAGAAGGTGGGAAATATATAAATCTAGTGAGCTTATAAGGTTCGAAAGGAATCTAATGCATATGTATATGGAAAATGGTGCATTGGCCAGGTCGGTCAGTATGGGAACTTAGAATGCAAATGCCAGGGAGAACGGAAGCGCTCAGATCTCGCATAGTACACAGAATCTAGTGGTCTCACTCAAATAGAAGGTATGAAATAAATTCGTCTAGTGAACGTAAAGGTTTGAAAGGTAACTAACGCACATGTGTAGAGAAAATGGTGCATCGGCCAGTCTGGCCGGCATCTCGCACTTATAGTGCAAGTAGGGCCAAGGAGAACAGAAACGCTCATTTCTCAAAAAGTAAAGGGAATCTAGCGGTCTCACTCGATCAGAAGGTGGGAAATATATAAATCTAGTTAGCTAATAAGGTTCGAAAGGAATCTAATGCATATGTATATGAAAAGTGGTGCATTGGCCAGGTCGGTCAGTATGGGAACTTAGAGTGCAAATGCCAGGGAGAACGGAAGCGCTCAGATCTTGCATAGTACACGGAATCTAGTGGTCTCACTCAAATAGAAAGTAGGAAATAAATTCATCTAGTGAATGTAAGGGTTTGAAAGGTAACTAACGCACATGTGTAGAGAAAATGGAGCATCGGCCAGTCTGGCCGGCATTTCGCACTCATAGTGCAAGTAGGGCCAAGGAGAACGGAAACGCTCATTTCTCAAAAAGTAAAGGGAATCTAGCACTCTCACTCGATCAGAAGGTGGGAAATATATAAATCTAGTGAGCTTATAAGGTTCGAAAGGAATCTAATGCATATGTATATGGAAAATGGTGCATTGGCCAGGTCGGTCAGTATGGGAACTTAAAGTGCAAATGCCTGGGAGAAAGGAACCGCTCAGATCTCGCATAATACACGGAATCTAGTGGTCTCACTCAAATATAAGGTAGGAAATATATTCATCTAGTGAACGTAAGGGTTTGAAAGGTAACTAACGCACATGTGTAGAGAAAATGGTGCATCGGCCAGTCTGGCCGGCATTTCGCACTTATAGTGCAGGTGGGGCCAGGGAGAACGGAAACGCTCGTTTCTCAAAGAGTAGAGGGAATCTAATGGTCTCACTCGATCAGAAGGTGGGAAATATATAATTCTAGTCAGCTAAAAAGGTTTGAAATGTATTCAACGCACATGTATAGAGAAAATGGTGCATTGGCCAGGTCGGTCAGTATCGGAACTTAAAATACAAATGCTAGGGAGAACGGAAGCGCTCAGATCTCGCATAGTACACGGAATCAAGTGGTCTCACTCAAATAGAAAGTAGGAAATATATTCATCTAGTGAACGTAAGGGTTTGAAAGGTAAATAACGCACATGTGTAGAGAAAATGGTGCGTCGGCCAGTCTGGCCGGCATTTCGCACTTATAGTGCAAGTAGGGCCAAGGAGAACGGAAACGCTCATTTCTCAAAAAGTAAAGGGAATCTAGCGGTCTCACTCGATCAAAAGGTGGGAAATATATAAATCTAGTGAGCTAATAAGGTTTGAAAGGAATCTAATGCATATGTATATGGAAAATGGTGCATTGGCCAGGTCGGTCAGTATGGGAACTTAGAGTGCAAATGCCAGGGAGAACGGAAGCGCTCAGATCTCGCATAGTACACGGAATCTAGTGGTCTCACTCAAATAGAAGGTAGGAAATAAATTCATCTAGTGAACGTAAAGGTTTGAAACGTAACTAACCTACATGTGTAGAGAGAATGGTGCATCGGCCAGTCTGGCCGGCATTTCGCACTTATAGTGCAAGTAGGGCCAAGGAGAACGAAAACGCTCATTTCTCAAAAAGTAAAGGGAATCTAGCGGTTTCACTCGATCAGAAGATGGGAAATATATAAATCTAGTGAGCTAATAAAGTTCGAAAGGAATCTAATGCATATGTATATGGAAAATGGTGCATTGGCCAGGTCGGTCAGTATGGGAACTTAGAGTGCAAATGCCAGGGAGAACGGAAGCGCTCAGATCTCGCATAGTACACGGAATCTAGTGGTCTCACTCAAATAGAAGGTAGGAAATAAATTCATCTAGTGAACGTAAAGGTTTGAAAGGTAACTAACCTACATGTGTAGAGAAAATGGTGCATCGGCCAGTCTGGCCGGCATTTCGCACTTATAGTGCAAGTAGGGCCAAGGAGAACGGAAACGCTCATTTCTCAAAAAGTAGAGGGAATCTAGCGGTCTCACTCGATCAGAAGGTGGGAAATATATAAATCTAGTGAGCTAATAAGGTTCGAAAGGAATCTAATACATATGTATATGGAAAATGGTGCATTGGCCAGGTCGGTCAGTATGGGAACTTAGAGTGCAAATGACATGGACGTGGACGTGGACGTGGACGTGGAGATGGACATGGACATGGACGTGGACATGGACATGGACGTGGACATGGACGTGGATGTGGACATGGACGTGGACGTGTCCATGTCCATGTCCACGTCCACGTCCACGTCTATGTCCACGTCCACGTTCACGTCCACGCCCATGTCTATGTCCATGTCCACGTCCACGTCCATGTCCACGTCCACGTCCATGTCCAAGTCCATGTCCCTGTCTACGTCCACGTCCACGTCCATGTCCACGTCCACGTCCTCGTCCACGTCCAGGTCTACGTCCATGTCTACGTCCACGTCCACGTCCATGTCCACGTCCACGTCCATGTCCACGACCACGTCCACGTCCACGACCACGTCCACGTCCACGTCCACGTCCACGTCCACGTCTAAGTCCATGTCCACGTCCACGTCCACGTCCACGTCCACATCCACGACCATGTCTTCGTCCACGTCCACGTCCACGTCCATGTCCACGTCCATGTCCACGTCTACGTCCACGTCTACGTCTACGTCCACGTCCACGTCCACGTCCACGTCCATGTCCACGTCCACGTCCACGTCCAAGTCCACGTCCACGTCCATGTCCACGTCCACGTCCACGTCCATGTCCACGTCCACGTCCACGTCCATGTCCACGTCCATGTCCACGTCCATGTCCACGTCCATGTCCACGTCCACGTCCACGTCCATGTCCACGTCCACGTCCACGTCCATGTCCACGTCCACGTCCACGTCCACGTCCACTCCACGTCTACCTCAACGTCCATGTCCACGTCCACGTCCACGTCCACGTCCATGTCCACGTCCACGTCCACGTCCACGTCCACGTCAACGTCCATGTCCACGTCCATGTCCCATTCACGTCCATGTCCACGTCCAAGTTCTCCACGTCCACGTCCACGTCCACGTCCACGTCCACGTCGACGTCTACGTCCACGTCCACGTCCACGTCCACGTCCACGTCTACGTCCATGTCCACGTCCATGTCCACGTCCACGTCCATGTCCACGTCCACGTCCATGTCCACGTCCATGTCCATGTCCATGTCCACGTCCACGTCCACGTCCACGACCACGTCCATGTCATTTGCACTCGAAGTTCCCATACTGACCGACCTGGCCAATGCACCATTTTCCATATACATATGCATTAGATTCCTTTCAAACCTTTTTAGCTCACTAGATTTATAAATTTCCCACCTTCTGATCGAGTGAGACCGCTAGATTCCCTCTACTTTTTGAGAAATAAGCGTTTCCGTACTCCTTGGCCCTAGTTGCACTATCAGTGCGAAATGCCGGCTAGACTGGCAGACGCACAATTTTCTCTACACATGTGAGTTAGTTACCTTTCAAACCCTTATGTTCACTAGATGAATATATTTCCTACTTTCTATTTGGGTGAGACCACTTGATTCCGTGTACTATGCGAGATCTGAGCTCTTCCGTTCTCCCTGGCATTTGCATTTTAAGTTCCGATACTGACCGACCTGGCCAATGCACCATTTTCTCTATACATGTGCGTTGAATACATTTCAAACCTTTTTAGCTGACTAGATTGATATATTTCCCACCTTCTGATTGAGTGAGACGGTTAGATTCCCTCTACTTTTTGAGAAACGAGCGTTTCCGTTCTCCCTGGCCCCACCTGCACTATGAGTGCGAAATGCCGGCCAGACTGGCCGATGCACCATTTTCTCTACACATGTGCGTTAGTTACCTTTCAAACCCTTACGTTCACTAGATGAATATATTTCCTACCTTATATTTGAGTGAGACCACTAGATTCCGTTTATTATGCGAGATCTGAGCGGTTCCGTTCTCCCAGGCATTTGCACTCTAAGTTCCCATACTGACCGACCTGGCCAATGCACCATTTTCCATATACATATGCATTAGATTCCTTTCGAACCTTATTAGCTTACTAGATTTATATATTTCCCACCTTCTGATCGAGTGAGACCACTAGATTCCCTCTTCTTTTTGAGAAATGAGCGTTTCCGTTCTCCTTGGCCCTAGTTGCACTATAAGTGCGAAATGCCGGCCAGACTGGCCGATGCACAATTTTCTCTACACATGTGCGTTAGTTACCTTTCAAACCCTCACGTTCACTAGATGTTCCTACTTTCTATTTGAGTGAGACCACTTGATTCCGTGTACTATGCGAGATCTGAGCGCTTCCGTTCTCCCTGGCATTTGCATTTTAAGTTCCGATACTGACCGACCTGGCCAATGCACCATTTTCTCTATACATGTGCGTTGAATACATTTCAAACCTTTTTAGCTGACTAGATTTATATATTTCCCACCTTCTGATCGAGTGAGACCGTTAGATTCCCTCTACTTTTTGAGAAACGAGCGTTTCCGTTATACCTGGCCCAACCTGCACTATGAGTGCGAAATGCCGGCCAGACTGGCCGATGCACCATTTTCTCTACACATGTGCATTAGTTACCTTTCAACCCTTACGTTCACTAGATGAATATATTTCCTACCTTATATTTGAGTGAGACCACTAGATTCCGTGTATTATGCGAGATCTGAGCGGTACCGTTCTCCCAGGCATTTGCACTCTAAGTTCCCATACTGACCGACCTGGCCAATGCACCACTTTCCATATACATATGCATTAGATTCCTTCTCAACCTTATTAGCTCACTAGATTTATATATTTCCCACCTTTTGATCGAGTGATCCCGCTAGATTCCCTTTACTTTATGAGAAATGAGCGTTTCCGTTCTCCTTGGCCCTACTTGCACTCTGAGTGCGAAATGCCGGCCAGACTGGCCGATGCACAATTTTCTCTACACATGTGCGTTAGTTACGTTTCAAACCCTTACGTCCACTAGATGAATTTATTTCCTACCTTACATTTGAGTGAGACCACTAGATTCCGTGTATTATGCGAGATCTGAGCGGTTCTGTTCTCCCAGGCATTTGCACTGAAGTTGTCATACTGACCGACCTGGCCAATGCACCACTTTCCATATACATATGCATTAGATTCCTTTCAAACCTTATTAGCTCACTAGATTTATATATTTCCCACCTTTTGATCGAGTGAGACCGCTAGATTCCCTTTACTTTTTGAGAAATGAGCGTTTCCGTTCTCCTTGGCCCTACTTGCACTATAAGTGCGAAATGCCGGCCAGACTGGCCGATGCACCATTTTCTCTACACATGTGCGTTAGTTACCTTTCAAACCCTTACGTTCACTAGATGAATTTATTTCCTACCTTCTATTTGAGTGAGACCACTAGATTCTGTGTACTATGCGAGATCTGAGCGCTTCCATTCTCCCTGGCATTTGCACTCTAAGTTCCCATACTGACCGACCTGGCCAATGCACCACTTTCCATATACATATACATTAGATTCCTTCCAAACCTTATTAGCTCACTAGATTTTTATATTTCCCACCTTTTGATCGAGTGATCCGGCTAGATTCCCTTTACTTTCTGAGAAATGAGCGTTTCCGTTCTCCTTGGCCCTACTTGCACTATAAGTGCGAAATGCCGGTCAGACTGGCCGATGCACAATTTTCTCTACACATGTGCGTTAGTTACCTTTCAAACCCTTATGTTCACTAGATGAATATATTTCCTACCTTATATTTGAGTGAGACCACTAGATTCCGTTTATTATGCGAGATCTGAGCGGTTCTGTTCTCCCAGGCATTTGCACTCTAAGTTCCCATACTGACCGACCTGGCCAATGCACCATTTTCCATATACATATGCATTAGATTCCTTTCGAACCTTATAAACTCACTAGATTTATATATTTCCCACCTTCTAATCGAGTGAGACCGCTAGATTCCCTTTACTTTTTGAGAAATAAGCGTTTCCGTTCTCCTTGGCCCTACTGTGAAAATAGTAGAAGGTGGGGCCTAGGCTTAGTAGCCTAGGCCCACACTAGGAGGTAGGCAAGGTGAGTTCGAGTGGGGGTTTCTCCTAGGGGAGAGTATCGAGAAATTGGAAGGGAAGTGATTTCACTAGCAAGAGTTGGGATACAAGTACAAAGCCCCAAATTGGGTTGTACTCATTACAGAGTACCCCACTGCAGGCTAGACAGCAAATATATTCTGACACACCCCCATAGCCAAAGTGGGGTGTAATCAGCAGAGCAGGCAAAGTAGTACAAGCTCAGGGTGGATCACAATGTCACCACACATTCTGAGCACAAGTTAAAGAAGCAATAGTTAAAGTGCACAATTATCAGCAAAGCTAGTGGTGGTCAAAATGGGCAAGTGAGGAGGAGGAGGGAGAGTGAGAGAAGAGGAGATGGGAGGCGACTGCTGAAGCTGCAGACACACGGGCAACAGGAGCGGCTGGCACAGTGGCTACCGGGACAGCGCCCCGGACTACTGGAGTAACTGGCTCGGCGGCTACGAAGAGCGGCAGGAGCAACGGACCCACGGGCGACAGGCGCAGCAGGCTCAGTGAGCTACCAGGACAGCGCCCCGGACTACAGGTGCTGCGGACTACAAGACGGCAGCCTCCGCTCAACCTCCCACAAACAGTTCCACCCCCCTGACACACACCCGCTGCTACACCCCTAGCTCCACTCCCACGCACCCCCCTTAAACCCTAAACCCCAGTCTCCCACACAACCACCCCCCTCAGCGACAGCTGCAGCAGTGGGAGACGACGGAGGAGGAGAAGGAAGGGGCGACACAAACGGAGCACCCCCACACCCGCAAACGGGGGGGGGGGGGGGGGGGGGGACAGTGCGCACGAGGGCGCAGACAGTAGCAGAGCGCACGAGGGCGCGAGCACGAGGCACGGGCAGCAACAGGCACGGGCAGCAAAGGCACGGGCAGCACAGGCACGGGCAGCACAGGCAGCACAGGCACGGGCAGCACAGGCACGGGCAGCACAGGCACGGGCAGCACAGGCACGGGCAGCAACAGGCACAGGCAGCACAGGCACGGGCAGCACAGGCACGGGCAGCACAGGCACGGGCAGCACAGGCACGGGCAGCAACAGGCACGGGCAGCACAGGCACGGGCAGCACAGGCACGGGCAGCAACAGGCACGAGCAGCAACAGGCACGGGCAGCACAGGCACGGGCAGCACAGGCACGGGCAGCACAGGCACGGGCAGCACAGGCACGGGCAGCAACAGGCACGGGCAGCACAGGCACGGGCAGCACAAGCACGGGCAGCACAGGCACGGGCAGCACAGGCACGGGCAGCACAGGCACGGGCAGCAACAGGCATAGGCAGCACAGGCACGGGCAGCACAGGCACGGGCAGCACAGGCACGGGCAGCACAGGCACGGGCAGCAACAGGCACGGGCAGCACAGGCACGGGCAGCACAGGCACGGGCAGCACAGGCACGGGCAGCAACAGGCACAAGCAGCAACAGGCACGGGCAGCACAGGCACGGGCAGCACAGGCACAGGCAGCAACAGGCACAGGCAGCAACAGGCACGGGCAGCACAGGCACGGGCAGCACAGGCACGGGCAGCAACAGGCACGAGCAGCGACAGGCACGGGCAGCACAGGCACGGGCAGCACAGGCACGGGCAGCACAGGCACGGGCAGCACAGGCACGGGCAGCAACAGGCACGGGCAGCACAGGCACGGGCAGCACAGGCACGGGCAGCACAGGCACGGGCAGCACAGGCACGGGCAGCAACAGGCACGGGCAGCACAGGCACGGGCAGCACAGGCACGGGCAGCACAGGCACGGGCAGCACAGGCACGGGCAGCACAGGCACAGGCAGCAACAGGCACAGGCAGCACAGGCACGGGCAGCACAGGCACGGGCAGCACAGGCACGGGCAGCACAGGCACGGGCAGCACAGGCACGGGCAGCACAGGCACAGGCAGCACAGGCACAGGCAGCACAGGCACGGGCAGCACAGGCACGGGCAGCACAGGCACGGGCAGCACAGGCACGGGCAGCACAGGCACGGGCAGCAACAGGCACGGGCAGCACAGGCACGGGCAGCACAGGCACGGGTAGCGCAGGCACGGGCAGCACAGGCACAGGCAGCAAAGGGCGTACCGGGTCCAGGGGCGGCTGCTGCTGGGGCGGCTGCACCTGGGGCTGCTGCTGCAGGAGCGGCTGCTGCAGTGACGGCTCCAGGGGCGGCTGCTGTTGGGGCGGCTGCTCCATGGGCTGCTGCTGCAGTGGCGGCTCCAGGGGCTGCTGCTGCAGGGGTGGCCGTTCCTGGGGCTGCTGCTGCAGTGGCGGCTCCAGGGGCTGCTGCTGCAGGCTCTGGCGGTAGCTGCTGCTGCTGGGCGGCGGCGGTTGCTGCTGCAGAGTGGCGGCGGCTGCTGCTGCTGGTAGAGCGGCGGCTGCTGCTGCAGAGCGGCGGCAGCTGCTGCTGCAGGCGCGGTGGCAGCAGCTGCTGCAGGCCTGGCGGCGGCTGCTGCTGCTGGGTGGTGGCGGCCGCTGTTGTAGGCTCTGGCGGCGGTTGCTGCTGGCTCTGACGGCGCCCCGCGGATCCTGCACGAACGCCGCGACGAGCAGGGGCGACGCCCCGCGGGTCCCGCACGGATGTCGCGACAAGTAGGGCGGCACCGCGCGGGTCCCGCACGGACGTCGCGACGAGCAAGGGCGACGCCCCGCGGGTCCCGCACGGACGTCGCGACGAGCAGGGCGACGCCGCGCGGGTCCCGCACGGGCGTCGCGACGAGCAGCGGGGAGGGCAGCGCGCAGGCCCCCCGAGGGCGCTTCGACAGACGGGAAAACCGCCGCGCGCCCCGAGCGCACGGCGGGATGAAAAACTCCGAAACCCTAAAAAACCCCGAGCGCACGGCGGCAGGAAGAAGGACTGCAGCGGAAGTATAGGGGCCCACAGGCCAAGGTAGAACGGGCTCTGATAACATGTGAAAATAGTAGAAGGTGGGGCCTAGGCTTAGTAGCCTAGGCCCACACTAGGAGGTAGGCAAGGTGAGTTCGAGTGGGGGTTTCTCCTAGGGGAGAGTATCGAGAAATTGGAAGGGAAGTGATTTCACTAGCAAGAGTTGGGATACAAGTACAAAGCCCCAAATTGGGTTGTACTCATTACAGAGTACCCCACTGCAGGCTAGACAGCAAATATATTCTGACACCTACTTGCACTATAAGTGCGAAATGCCGGCCAGACTGGCCGATGCACCATTTTCTCTACACATGTGCGTTAGTTACCTTTCGAACCCTTACGTTCACTAGATGAATTTATTTCCTACCTTCTATTTGAGTGAGACCACTAGATTCCGTGTACTATGCGAGATCTGAGCGCTTCCGTTCTCCCTAGCATTTGCACTCTAAGTTCCCATACTGACCGACCTGGCCAATGCACCATTTTCCATATACATATGCATTAGATTCCTTTCGAGCCTTATTAGCTCACTAGATTTATATATTTCCCACCTTATGATCGAGTGAGACCACTAGATTCCCTCTACTTTTAGAGAAATGAGCATTTTCGTTCTCCTTGGCCCTAGATGCACGATAAGTGCGAAATGCCGGCCAGACTGGCCGATGCACAATTTTCTCTACACATGTGTGTTAGTTACCTTTCAAACCCTTACGTTCACTATATGAATATATTTCCTACTTTCTATTTGAGTGGGACCACTTGATTCCGTGTACTATGCGAGATCTCAGCGCTTCGTTTTCCCTAGCATTTGCATTTTAAGTTCCGATACTGACCGACCTGGCCAATGCACCATTTTCTCTATACATGTGCGTTGCATACATTTCAAACCTTTTTAGCTGACTAGATTTATATATTTCCCACCTTCTGATCGAGTGAGACCGTTAGATTCCCTCTACTTTTTGAGAAACGAGCGTTTCCGTTCTACCTGGCCCCACCTGCACTATGAGTGCGAAATGCCGGCCAGACTGGCCGATGCACCATTTTCTCTACACATGTGCATTAGTTACCTTTCAAACCCTTACGTTCACTAGATGAATATATTTCCTACCTTATATTTGAGTGAGACCACTAGATTCCGTGTATTATGCGAGATCTGAGCGGTTCCGTTCTCCAAGGCATTTGCACTCTAAGTTCCCATACTGACCGACCTGGCCAATGCACCACTTTCCATATACATATGCATTAGATTCCTTTTGAACCTTATAAGCTCACTAGATTTATATATTTCCCACCGTCTGATCGACTGAGACTGCTAGATTCCCTTTACTTTTTGAGAAATGAGCGTTTCCGTTCTCCTTGGCCCTACTTGCACTATAAGTGCGAAATGCCGGCCAGACTGGCCGATGCACCATTTTCTCTACACATGTGCGTTAGTTACCTTTCAAACCCTTACGTTCACTAGATGAATTTATTTCGTACCTTATATTTGAGTGAGACCACTAGATTCCGTGTATTTTGCGAGATCTGAGCGCTTCCGTTCTCCCTGGCATTTGCACTCTAAGTTCCCATACTGACCGACCTGGCCAATGCACCACTTTCCATATACATATGCATTAGATTCCTTTCGAACCTTATTAGCTCACTAGATTTATATATTTCCCACCTTCTAATCGAGTGAGACCGCTAGATTCCCTTTACTTTTTGAGAAATGAGCGTTTCCATTCTCCTTGGCCCTACTTGCACGATAAGTGCGAAATGCCGGCCAGATTGGCCGATGCACCATTTTCTCTACACATGTGCGTTAGTTACCTTTCAAACCCTTACGTTCACTAGATGAATTTATTTCCTACCTTCTATTTGAGTGAGACCACTAGATTCCGTGTACTATGCGAGATCTGAGCGCTTCCGTTCTCCCTGGCATTTGCATTTTAAGTTCCCATACTGACCGACCTGGCCAATGCACCATTTTCCGTATACATATGCATTAGATTCCTTTCAAACCTTATTAGCTCACTAGATTTATATATTTCCCACCTTCTGATCAAGTGAGACCGCTAGATTCCCTTTACTTTTTGAGAAATGAGCGTTTCCGTTCTCCTTGGCCCTACTTGCACTATAAGTGCGAAATGCCGGCCAGACTGGCCGATGCACCATTTTCTCCACACATGTGCGTTAGTTACCTTTCAATCCCTTACGTTCACTAGATGAATTTATTTCCTACCTTCTATTTGAGTGAGACCACTAGATTCCGTGTACTATGCGAGATCTGAGCGGTTCCGTTCTCCCAGGCATCTGCACTCTAAGTTGCCATACTGACCGACCTGGCCAATGCACCAGTTTCCATATACATATGCATTAGATTCCTTGTGAACCTTATAAGCTGACTAGATTTATATATTTCCCACCTTCTGATCGAGTGAGACCGCTAGATTCCCTTTACTTTTTGAGAAATGAGCGTTTCCGTTCTCCTTGGCCCTACTTGCACTATAAGTGCGAAATGCCGGCCAGACTGGCCGACGCACCATTTTCTCTACACATGTGCGTTAGTTACCTTTCAAACCCTTACGTTCACTAGATGAATTTATTTCCTACCTTCTATTTGAGTGAGACCACTAGATTCCGTGTACTATGCGAGATCTGAGCGCTTCCGTTCTCCCTGGCATTTGCACTCTAAGTTCCCATACTGACCGACCTGGCCAATGCACCATTTTCCATATACATATGCATTAGATTCCTTTCGAACCTTATTAGCTCACTAGATTTATATATTTCCCACCTTATGATCCAGTGAGACCGCTAGATTCCCTTTACTTTTTGAGAAATGAGTGTTTGCGTTCTCCTTGGCCCTACTTGCACTATAAGTGCGAAATGCCGGCCAGACTGGCCGATGCACCATTTTCTCTACACATGTGCGTTAGTTACCTTTCAAACCCTTACGTTCACTAGATGAATTTATTTCCTACCTTCTAGTTGAGTGAGACCACTAGATTCCGTGTACTATGCGAGATCTGAGCACTTCCGTTCTCCTTGGCATTTGCACTCTAAGTTCCCATACTGACCGACCTGGCCAATGCACCATTTTCCATATACATATGCATTAGATTCGTTTCGAACCTTATTAGCTCACTAGATTTATATATTTCCCACCTTCTGATCGAGTGAGACCGCTAGATTCCCTTTACTTTTTGAGAAATGAGCGTTTCCGTTCTCCTTGGCCCGACTTGCACTATAAGTGCGAAATGCCGGCCAGACTGGCCGACGCACCATCTTCTCTGCACATGTGCGTTAGTTACCTTTCAAACCGTTACGTTCACTAGATGAATTTATTTCCTACCTTCTTTTTGAGTGAGACCACTAGATTCCGTGTACTATGCGAGATCTGAGCGCTTCCGTTCTCCCTGGCATTTGCACTCTAAGTTCCCATACTGACCGACCTGGCCAATGCACCATTTTCCATATACATATGCATTAGATTCCTTTCGAACCTTATTATCTCACTAGATTTATATATTTCCCACCTTCTGATCGAGTGAGACCGCTAGATTCCCTTTACTTTTTGAGAAATGAGTGTTTCCGTTCTCCTTGGCCCTACTTGCACTATAAGTGCGAAATGCCGGCCAGACTGGCCGATGCACCATTTTCTCTACACATGTGCGTTAGTTACCTTTCAAACCCTTACGTTCACTAGATGAATTTATTTCCTACCTTCTATTTGAGTGAGACCACTAGATTCCGTGTACTATGCGAGATCTGAGCACTTCCGTTCTCCCTGGCATTTGCACTCTAAGTTCCCATACTGACCGACCTGGCCAATGCACCATTTTCCATATACATATGCATTAGATTCCTTTCGAACCTTATTAGCTCACTAGATTTATATATTTCCCACCTTCTGATCGAGTGAGACCGCTGGATTCCCTTTACTTTTTGAGAAATGAGCGTTTCCGTTCTCCTTGGCCCTACTTGCACTATAAGTGCGAAATGCCGGCCAGACTTGCCGATGCACCATTTTCTCTACACATGTGCGTTAGTTACCTTTCAAACCCTTACGTTCACTACATGAATTTATTTCCTACCTTCTATTTGAGTGAGACCACTAGATTCCGTGTACTATGCGAGATCTGAGCGCTTCCGTTCTCCCAGGCATTTGCACTCTAAGTTGCCATACTGACCGACCTGGCCAATGCACCAGTTTCCATATACATATGCATTAGATTCCTTGTGAACCTTATAAGCTGACTAGATTTATATATTTCCTACCTTCTGATCGAGTGAGACCGCTAGATTCCCTTTACTTTTTGAGAAATGA